ACCACAACCTCCGAGTCAAAAACACCCTAATGCCATCGACGGATCACATGGCGCTAATGATCAGCACAAGGATACAGTGGAGAAAATCGCAACTCAGGCCACTAAGGTATGACAAAGCTAACTGGGACGGAATAAGGACAGAACTACTCCTCCTGGAAGAAAATGATGACCCGGCACATATCCAGAAAAGACTGACCGAGATCATCCTAAAACATACCCCGGAGGCGAGAGACAACGCAAGAGCATTTTGGAATGCGGAACTCTCCAAAACTAGAAAGGAGCTGCTGACAACCATAAGAATCAACCCCCGATGTGCCAGCATAAGAGACAAAAGGAAAAAGTATAGGAAGGACATCGCGGAAGCCAAACTACAAGCCAACAGCGAAGCCCTACAAGAGGAAACCGACCCGGAGTGTTTCAGAAGCGTCAAGCCTAGGACAACAAAGCAACCGATACCGGCCCTGACCAGGAAGGACGGAAGCATAGCCGCCGAACACAGCCACATATCGGCGGAACTACACACGACCCTGTACGGAGGAGAGCACAAGCAAACCTTAAAAACCCCAAAGGAGAGCCCGGACACACTAGACATCGGAATACTAGACACCGCCCTGAAAGCCACCCCAAACGGAGCAGCAACAGGCCCGGACCTTCTTCCCGGCAGAATAATCAAGGAGTTTAGGAAATGCCGAGAAAAGCTGTTCACGAGCATGATGAACAGAGCCTGGGCAGAGGGCATACCAGATAGTTGGAAAACGAGTAACACAATCCTGATCAAAAAGGAGAAAAAAGAGTCTTACACGATAGCCAAAAGCTGGAGGCCCATTCAACTCCAATCCATCCTCGCCAAGGTACTGGAAAGGGCGGCAGTAATAAGAATAGCAAAGCTAGACCTGCTAACCCCCAACATGTTCGGCGGAAGAAAGAACAACGGAACGACGGATGCGATCCAAGCCCTCAACGACTTGATAACGACCTCCAAACAACCCTATACCTGCCTGACGGCCCTCGACATCGAAGGAGGATTTGACCACCTCCGGATGGAAGAAGTATGCAACACCATAGAGGCAAAGAACGGCCACCTAGGACAATGGATAAGACACTGGGCCGCAAACCGAAACACCTCCTACAGGTTTAACGGGAAGTGCTCGAAAGCGTTCGCCACGGACAAGGGCACACCGCAAGGCTCTCCCCTATCCCCCATCCTATTCCTCATAAGCATAAGAGAAATAACCGCCATAGAACCCACCAGATTGCCAGGGACAACCACCAAGCTCTTGACCTACGTCGATGACATCCTAGTTGCCACGACCTATAAGAACCTGGATATAGGCCAAGTAGCCCACCAAGACACGCTAGACAGGGTCTACAGCGGCTGCCGAAACCACGGCTACAACCTCTCCCCACTCAAGACGGAACGCATACACATAAAAACCCCCCCAGAGAAACATCTCCACCCAAAGATAGGGGGCACGGAGGCTCCGGAGAAGGAGGTAATGCGATGGCTAGGCTACTTCATATCCCCAGACTACAAATGGAAGGCACACATGGCCCACTGGACAGCAAAGGCCAACAAAACCAGCTTCTTCGTCAAAGCAATGACGAGCAGATACGCAAAGGGAGGCCTCAATGCATGGACCACGCTTCGACTCATACAGGGCCTAATCCTCCCCCAACTAACCTACGGGATAGAGGTATGGGGAGCGGTCACGGAGATAGACAAAGCGCAAAAGACCCTCAACAAGATCACGAGGTGCGCCTTCGGACTGGAAAAAAAAACCCCCCTAACGGCGATATTTGCAGAAACCGGGATCGTCCCACTTCGCACCTACACCGACCACCGACACAACCTTCTCTGCCTCAGGGCCCAGTGCCTAGACAGACCAACGGAAATGACGAAACAATGGAAGGACAAGACGGGAGCCGGGAAAATCATCGAGAACGCCCACAACATGAAGCTGGGTAAATCAAACCTGAAAGAACACCTCCTCGAGAACTGGACGAGAAACATCGAGGGGGAAAAAATCAGATACAAGGGCAAACCGAGGAGAAGCTACAAACACTGGAGAAAGACAACCAGATTGCAGTTCAGAAAACTCCTCTACCTAAAAGCAACGGCAGCATGGCCATACCAGGACACCGAAGGGAAACGACGGGATTGCCCCTGCGGTAGGGACATAATCACCGGAGACCACCTGATGGAAAGATGCGGAATAGTCAAACCAATAAAGGCCAAGATCCACGACACTAGAGACCACGGGACACTACTAAAGTGGATGGACACCTGGCCCGACGCACTAAAAAGAGAACCGTCCGCCGTCCAAAAACACCAAGCATACGCCAACAGGGCCCAAACCACGGCAGCGGGTATAAACATACCCACCTCGCAACCCCAAACCGGAAAAAGGGGAAAAAGACCAAAAAAGATGACACCATGTGACCTCTGCGGACAACCAGTAATACACGAGAAGGCAAAACTGGAAGCGCACGCGAGAACCCACGAGGAAGGCTACACCCCAGGCAGGAGGAAAACCCAGTGAGGAGAGCCCACGGCGGAAAGGGCAGAGAGGAAGGCGGCCCGGCGACCCAGGGGCGTAATGCTGGGGGGATAGTATCTCCTTATTTACACGACAGCTGGGCATGGAGATGACGGGGCTGGTTTCTTTAGTTGATGGAACTTTTCTTAGAGTACACGACCACTGGGCATGGAGATGACGGGGTGGGTTTCTTTAGCAGTTAGATTTTTTAGAGTACACGACCACTGGGCATAGAGATGACCGGGTGCGTATCCTTAACAGCTAGCATTGGTGTAGAGTAACACGAATTCGCAAGTCCTGGCCATCCAGGAAAACTGCGGTGGGTTTCATTCGCAGGTGGGATATTAGTTAGCTTAGGACGAAGCAAAGAGATGGGGAGGTCAGGAGTTTCGTTTGTCAGCTTGGGCTCAGGGGTAACAACAAGGGGAACGGGTAAAGTCGGCAAGCACGCAGTGAGCCCCGAGTCTTAGTCTATGCACCCGTGTACCCGCTAAGCGAGGTGGAACACACGAGGAGGAGGACCGAACCTGAGGATACGCTTGGAAGGATGGTTGGCAGCCAAGGAGGGTTTCTTTTGTGATGGAGGTTGAGCGAGGCAGACAACGGGCTATAATGATGCAGTTGAGGCAACGGGCCAGGAGGTGGAAATTTCTTTAAGGGGGCCCTTGGCTGGGGGGAGTATCTCACGCCGGTAGCTAGATACCTTTAATTAGGTGAAACGAGGCATAACCTCGGACTAGATAAGAATGAAAATTAGGTTACAGGCGGCACCCTTCCTCCCCATTTTCAACTCTGAGGGTTAGGGGTCCTTTTTGCCGTTCCGGGGGGTTCACCCAATCAACGCCCTTTGAGCGATTTTTCACGATGGCTTCAAAGTCTTTATTCTTACCCTCGGTTACAAGATTTTATTCTTAGGTGTTTTGCTCCCTATTCGACACCCCTTGGGCCCGCTTTCCTTTGTTTCGGCTATTGATACGCCGCCCATGATACGAGCTCTTTTTAGAGCACCGACATTCGCCTCTTCAAAGGCACCCTTTTCTGGAACCACATTCTTTTTTGCGATGGCAGACGGCTGGGACTACAGTTTGCGGTTTGAGGAGCCTCTTGAGGCCCGAGTCCATACTCTCTTTATCGACGCCGCCTAGTACGGGCACGAACACGATTCCGATAGCCTTTCATTCCTTTTTGCGATTGTTCCAGACGCCCTTTTTAGGGACCCACTACCGCCTTTCGGCACGTAAGACCCAGGAGTTGAGTTTTTTATTTCTCCTGGGCAATCATCGTAAGTCCTGGGCAACCCCCAGGCAATCCCAATCCGCGGGGTGTCTTCACCTTCCCACTTTGCGGGGAATGGCTTTGACCCCCAAAATCACCACCCACACCTCGGAACTTCTGACCGGCGTATCCCGGCAGCCTTGGTGTGGTAACACGAATTCGGAAGTCCTGGCCTTCCAGGCAAACTGCTTTGGGGATTGGCGGTGGCTGTTTTTCTTGGCTGCAAAGGAGGGGAGGTCCGGAGGTTTGCATCTTTGTCTCATGGGTAACAACAAGGGGGACGGTTGAAGTCGGCCCGCTCGCATTGCGCCCCGTGTCTTAGTCTATGCGCCCGTGTACCCGCTAAGTGTGGCGGAACACCCGAGGAGGAGGACCGAACCTGTGGATACACTTGGGGGGATGGTTGGCTGCCGGGGAGGGTTTCTTTTGCGGTGGAGGTTTAGCGAGGCAGCGGGCGGGCTGTTTATGATGCATTTGTGGCAGGTGGCCAGGAGGTGGATTTCTTTCAGGGGGCCCTTGGCTGGGGGGTGTATCTCATGCCGGCTTAGCTAGATTATGATTAAGTTCGTAGAAACGGGGCATAACCCCGGGCTAGTAGAAGAATAAAATTAGGTTACAGGCGGCACCCTCAGCCAGCGAGGTGTTAGGGGTTTAAAGCCACTTTACTGTACTGTATGTAGCTAACGGAGGTATTTACTCGACATGCCTCGCTGAGGGCACTCCCAGTCTACCGATAGTGGTGTGAGGTACGGTAATGAGAAGTGAATGCAACCCTTCCAAGCAAGGGCTGGATTGGTGTGGTGGTCGATTGGCTGTGCAAAGGTCAGGGACAAGCATCCGATTTTGGCGGGTACGGCAGGGGTATTCGAAGTTAACTTAGTGAGTTTCGTATGAGGAAACGAGCGGTGATTAGCACAGTTGCCACAGTTCACCCAAGTAAACCACTGGAAAGTTTCTTATTTGGGTCTAGCTGTCCAGGTGGCCTGGGAGGTTGTCTATCGTGAAAGGAGGACGTCTCGCCACTGCCTCACGGGGCGGTGACGACATCTCCCAAACAAGAAATAATCAAGGATTTCAGCTGATCACAGTCAAAATCAGGAATCCTCCGAAGCCTTCATTCAAGCAGAAACTCTGACTAATCAGTCAGGTGTGAAGAACGGCCGAAGAGCACAAAAACAAAAAAAGGTGAGCCCGATGCGGGGGTCGAACCCGCGACATTGAGGTTTCTGAACAATGCAGATATCCGAAGATAAAAGCCACACGCTCTACCACTGAGCTAACCGGGCGTATATTAGATTCCTGTAATCTATCAATACAAGCTCCTATTATTTCCACACCAATTGAAGTCTTTAACTATCCTCGCAACCTCATTAATTAACTACCGTACTACAAATCCCACAAGAGTCTACATGAAGCCCATTCCTAATAACAAAGGAAAAGAAAAAGGACAAAAGGACAAAAGGACAAAAGGAAAAAAGGAAAATAATAATAATAGGAACAAAAATAAACAGTTATTCATCAACGCCTTTTGGTCCATCAATCCATCCATCCATTAATCAACCAGCCCCCTGACTACTTCGCAGAAACAACCGCTAGCCATTTTTGTTCGTCTTTTTTGTCAAATTTCAAGAGCATACCAAGGACTGGTACCAACTGCAATTGTGTCTTTTTATCCTTCTGTTCAAGGAATTGAAGGAGAACATTCTTTAGATAGTCCATGTTCACCATTTGGTTTCCAGCGGTAGTGGCACGTGGAGAGGTTGGTGATGCACGGCCCGAACGGGCAGAGTCTATAGAAGCTCTGGTATTGTTCTCAATGCCCTTTGGACGAATAGTCTGCAGTTGGCGGTATTCCTCTTGGAGGGCCTATGGGCGGTTAATTGAAATAGCGACGGTTTGGGAATGGGAATATGTAGCTACCTTGTATGATTTCTGCAGCTTCTCGGAGCGAGCCTGTTCCTCCTGAAGAGTCTTACGCATCTCCGCCCTTTGACGCTCGATTTCCTCCATTTGGTTATCGGTTTGATCGAGGGCATCTTGCATACTTGCCATAGCCCTCTTAGTTTCTTCATATTCTCTCTTAATCCTTTCAAGGGCCTCCTCAGCACGGAATTTGCCGTCTTTTAATCCGTTTAGCTCCCGTTCTGCCGCTGCCTGGGATTCTTCGGCATGCTTTAAATTGCGCTCCGACTCTCGGACTCTATCCCGGAGTTCCTCAATTTCCCTTGCTCGTCTTCGGCCAATGGTCGCGGCTTCTTCTTCGGCCTTGTCGCGCTCGTCAAAGGCAGCCTCCATCCGTTCCTTCATGTCTCTGGTTCGGGCCTCGTTTCTATCTTCAACCTCACTGAGTAGTCTTCTCATAGTCTCTGCTTCTCTAGAACGCTCGCTAAGTAGTTTGTGGGCTTCCGTAAGTTCTTCCTCCATAGATTCATATTTTTCGACAGCTTCCTTCATCTGCATTGCTAGTTCACCGGTTTGGTCCCTCATGGAGCCCATCAAGCTCTGGGAACTGGTATACTGTGCGACCTTCAATTCCAATTCTTCAGTCAAGGTGATATTTTGGTCCTTAAGGACCTCAATTTCCTTTTCCAAAGCTGCAATCTTGGGTTTCAGAGCATTGACCTCTTCCTGGACTCTGGCGTGGTCTCGCGCGTTCTTGTCCGCTGTCTCTAGTGCTTCTTTCCGCTCGTCATCCAGCTTCCTGAGGTCCTTTTGAGTTCGCCTGGTGGCCTCCTCTGCTTGAACTCTTCTGGCTGCCTCCTCACGAACCTTGCCACGCATTTTCTCAAGCTCAGCTTCCTTGTCTGATATCTTTTTGTTGAGATTGGTAATGTCGCCCTTAAGATCTCTCTCAGATCTCTCAAGGCGCTTCAGTTCGACAAGCTTTTGGTTGGCCTCATTTTTCCCGGCAGTCAAAGTAGCCACTTCTGCTCTTAGCGATGTCAGTTCCAGCTGCGCTTTCTCGATAACTGCTCGGAGCTCCATCGTATCCTTATATCTAGTGGCTGCCAATTTTTGGGCGGCGGAGAGATCAGTTTGAAGGGCAGAAGACTTCTGCTTCAGACTTTCATGCTCCGCGATCAAGGCAGCGTGGGCTTTCTCAAGCTCAGCAGATGTCGACGAATTTTGAGATCTCAAGTCTGATATCTCAGACTCCAACTTTTGGGCCTTCTGCTCAAGCTCTTCCTTTCTTGTTCTTATTTCATGGAGCTCCTTCGCCTGATCTTTAATCTTATTCCGGGCTTCCGTGTGGTCCTGGCCGAGAGTGACGAGATCGTCTCGCAGTGACTCTATCTCCTCATGGACCGCTTCGACATCTACTAATTTGGCCTTCAGCCTGATTATCTCCTCTTCTTTCTCCTCAAGTCTCCATTGTAAACCTGAGTTGAACTTGGCGACTTCAGAATCTTTCTCATCCAACTGCGAGCGCAAAGCAACGAGCTGATTCTGAAGATCCTCGATAATCGACTCTGACCAAAGGTTGGTTTCCGGGACTGGCGCCGGTTCTGGCTCCTCATCGACAATCTCACTGTCCTTGACTGGGCCTTCGTCTGGAGTAGAGGTTGAACCTTGAGCACCACCCCCTTTGCCTTTGCCTTTCTTCTTCCGATTTTTCTTCGCATTCTTGCCTACACTGGGTGTAGCACCAGCCGCGCTTGGTTCGGAATCCTTAGATGCTGGTGGAACTTCTCCGGTAGGCTTTGATGAGTTCTCAGCAAGTCTTCTCTCCGATTCATGAAGCTTCCCTTCGAGATTGACGACGGCCCGCTGCAGTAATATCTTTCCATCCCTTAACTGATTAAGCTCCTCTGTGAGCTTACCAAGATGTTTTAACATGTCGTTATTCTTATTATTGGTTGCCTCTAAATCAGAAATTTTCTGTTTTGAGATCTCTAACGCCCTCTTAGCTTGTGTCAATCCGGCTTCCTTCTCTTTAAGGTCCTTCTTTTTCCCCTCAAGCTCCTTAGTTTTCTTATCGAGCGTCATCGTAGTCTCCTCTAATTCCTCAGCTCCGACCCTAGCTTTCACCTCCGCTACCTTGAACCTAGATTCCGCGAGTTTCAGATTCTCTTCAGTCAAAGCCTTTTCCTTCTCCATCTCCTGCAGATCTTTCTTGGTCTTCTCTGCAATCTCTGCAATCTCTGCAGTCTCTTTCTCTCTTGCAGAGGCAAGTTCCCGCGTAGTTTCCAGATCCTTTTGAGCATTCTCTACACTCTGTTGCATTCCCTCTACAGCCTCCTCGGCAGCTTTCTGGGCAGCTTTGGCCGAGTCAAGATCTGTCCCGAGCGTCTCAATCTCTTTCTGTTGTTGCTCAACCAAAGTCTGCAACTTATCATGCTCATCATCGAACGAGAAGATGTCATCAGACGATTTCTCCTGCTGTTTCTTAGAAGTAGAGCTTTCCGCGGTACCATTAGAAACTTCCATTTCCTTCTTCATTTTCTCAATCTCTTCGTCCTTAGCTTTCTGCTCGTCTTTGAGTTTCTGTATCTGCGATTTATGCTCGTCCCGCTCTTTAGAAACTCGGATAAGTTCCTCTCTCGCTAGATCAGCCCGCAGAGCAAAACTGTTGATGTAGTCGATGAGGGGTTTGGGATCGGCTATTGACTCGAAGGGTGTGTTTTCACGAAGAGCTTTCTCAAATGGTTCGATGAGGGCGTTGCGGGCATGAACAATCTTGTAAGAACGTAGCAGGTCTGGGGAATGAGAATTAGTTCAACAAACATATAAATGCTGCAAACCAGTCATGTGACAAACCATTATGTTTCCCTTCAATTTTTTCCAACTTCCTCAGCTTGACCCTAACATCCGTTGGTAGATCCATATTCGATGATGACGACGACGAAGACGAGGGTCCCGGAGCAGGACTCGCACTTTTGGAGGGAACATCTCTTTTTTCACCATTTCCGCTCCCACTTCCACCAGCTTCACCAGCTCCACCAGCAAAACTCCTCTCGTTCTCCTTACCACTTGGCTCTGATTTACCACCTACAGCTCCCAGTGGATCCTCCGTCACCGCCTCCCCCTGTATTGGTGTACCCACCCGTGAAGGAATCAAGGTAGTAACTGAGCTCCCATCGCTCTCATTCTCGAATTCAGATGGGTCTTTCTCCCTTCCCGTTGCGGTCGTTCTTGCACGAGAGTTCGGGCGCTGCGTGGGAGAACCTGAGCGGCGGGAAGGTAAGTTTCGGGTTCGTGCTTGTTCTTGTAGGATTTGGGAATCGATGTGTGATTCCAGTACGCCTTTTAATCGTGAAAACATTTCGGTTATGCGTTATGCGTTTGTATCTATCTCTAGTTAAAGTCAGGAGTGAGGGGAGGGTGAGAAACTGGTCTATTGAATGAACGAAGGGATCGAAGCAGCAAAAGGAACGGGCGGACAGAGCCGAGCCGGGCTGGTCGAACGCCTGGGTTAAGGAGCCGCGCCAAGACCGCATGGGTTGTCACTCGAATTTACGATTTTCTTTTTTTTTTCTCTCTTTTTTTTTTCTCCGCCCAGCGGCAGAGGATCACCAAAATTGTTTGATCGACTGATCGATTCCTCAGGTTGCATACGTGTTCCGAATCAGATTTTAATCTTATAATAGTTTGCATACGGTATCACAGAAGTTGTGCTGTTTGGTACATTGTTTTTCCTTTTTTTCCAACTCTTCAGGACGCAGTTGGCACAGTGTCGAACGGCAGATCCTCACCTACGGTAACCGTATGGATGGAGTGAACCTTGTTAGCGAGCAGAGGCATCTGTACCCCCAAAACTGTATATTCCTAAAACTACCTTAAAAAAATTGGACCCTCATCACACAAGTCCCACGAGATGAATTGAAACTCGTACTGGCACCGAGATAGAAGATATGTTAAGAGCCACGTGATAAAAGTACAGAAATTTACTTTGGGGATCTTGAGATGAACCTTCTGCTCTAATTTTGGAGTTTCTCGAGTGATGTTCCGTGAGCCACTGTGGGACGGTATGCAAAGGTGTTAAGGTTTTTGATCAATGTCATTTGATCTGTTAGCGTAGCTACAGTTTTCAGCTCAAATAGCATAGTTTTACCCGAAAACGCAAGAGACCAAGGAAAATATTATCCAAGCCCCGCTCTCAGCTATGATATTCCATTAACTCATAATAGAGGTGCAGGAAGAGAAGCAAAGGATCAGATTGGTGAAGTACTTGCAGTTTGTGCTAACTTCAATAGTAGCTCATTGATTTTGCCGCCTTGCTCAGAAAAAAAAACCCGCAGCAACAAAAACCTTGGAAACCCCACCAACCCCTCCGTCTTTCGGTGCA